TATATAAAACCATTTTCCAACACCTTTCCCTTATCAAAATACCCAAAGTCTGAATAAATTAAATCCTCAAAATTCCATTTCAGTACCTTAGTTTTCTTCAAAACACGACCAATTGGCTCTTCCATGTTTGCAAGCACACGAATTGAGTTTGCAAGACTTGAAATCTACATATCATAAGATTGAATTTAGAAACAATAATACATGAATGCCTGGAGAAAGAAAGAGGGGGGTTTCCCAATGAGAACATTTTACAGAAGGAATGCCAATTCTGTAAGTAAATATAGCTGGGAAATAATCATGAAGTAAAACAAAAATTGGAATCCAATCTAACCAAACTTCCATAAATCAACAGTCTTGCCTAGCTCAATAATATGCCCTGCTATCTAAATCAAAATTAAAAGAAAGAAAGAAAAACTAAACACAAATGGACCAAAGTCTTGCTTTTTCAGGCTTTAGAGTCAGCCGAGCAATCAATGATTGTTCATAGCCAGCCAGATATGCAACAGCAACGTCAGCTTCATTTTCTATGGCGATCAGTCTTTCATTTTCTCCCAGGGCATCAGCTATGCTCAGCAAAATTTTACTCCTGTCTTGTGGAGACATGGCCTGCAGGGCAAAGCATATCACAATACTCACAAAAGTCATGCTTCCAAACAAGAATATAAATCCATACACATGAGTTTTTCTGGCAAAGAGAGCTTCAACTCATATATACAAGGATATCAAATCTTCATGATTTTTTACCTGTAGTTGTCTGCAACCCTCCCTTGCTGCAACTGGCATCTCATGTGCACCAACTTCTCCAAGTGGGACCCACTGGTGCGCATCCTGATGAAAGAGAATACCAATACGCTCTTGTTGAAGTACTTCTATGATATTATCAGTAGCATAGCCATTTCAAAAAATTATTAAAAAAAAAAAAGTGTCCTTCAGAAAAAATAGCAGCAGAAGCCTACACATGTCACAAGGTATAGCAACACTTCCATTGCCAGAGTGAAGGGGGTTTTGGAGATAAATAGAATATTTTTTCCAATCTAAAACATTAGAACTCCAAAAATTTAGCCAAGAATCTCTCCTTATTCTCCATATCAATCTCACTTTCCAAATAATTTCCTCCCTGACCAAACTGACAAAGTATTTACTTTGCAATGAGGGTAATGATTAGTGAGACCAACAGAGTGATAAACTTACACTAAAAGTCGATGACGGGTCAAGGGGTCAAGGTAAAACATAAAATCAAGATCCAGAATCCAGAATCCAGATCCTTAAATGTGGCACTCTCATGGTCTTCTGCTCTGCTTTGTGATGAACCTCTGAGATCATAGCACCTATGTATGTATAGATCCAACTATAATACATTTTCCATGACAACAAAGAAAACCAGTAGCCATATCAAGTGGTTAATTGAAGCTAGCTAAATAATTCAGATCAAGGAAAAAAATGAATTACTATGTCAGATTAAAAACAAAATTATATACCTTCTTAGTAAAAACACCAAAGAATTTCCGATATATACCTTCAGACCTCCAATCAGTCTCACAAAACCATGAACTTTGTATTTAAAATTAAACTGCTTACCTTCACAAAATTGCAAGTCTTGTCCAATCTTGTATTGCGGTTCAGTACCTGTAGAACATCAGTAGCACTTAAGTGTCATGCTCAGAATTCCAGTGGTTATCACAATAGCGGGAGAGATTGATGCGGATGTGGCCCATAGGATTAAGGCGGAATGGTGTAAGTGGAGAAGTGCGTCTGGGGTACTGTGCAATAAACGAATACCCACTAAATTAAAAGGTAAGTTCTATAGAACGGCTATTAGACCAACGATGTTGTATGAGACAGAGTGTTGGGCAACCAAGAAATAACATGCAGATAAGATGGGTGTGGCTAAGATAATGATACTAAGGTGGATGTGTGGCAAGACTAGATAAGACAGAATTAGGAATGAGTGTATTCGGGAATGGGTAGGAGTGGTATCGATAGAAGATAAATTGAGAGAGAATCGATTGAGATAGTTTGGTCACATTCAACAGAGACCAACAAAGGCAGTAGTGAAGAGATGCGATATTGTAACGGTAGATGAGAGTGTTAGGAGACGGGGTAGGCTTAGATTAACGTTGACTAGCGTTGTAAATAGAGATATGAATCTACTAAATTTGACTAACAAAATAGCCTTGGAGAAGGCTGCGTGGAAAAGAAGGATTCATGTAGCCGACCCCATTTGATGGGACTTAAAGGCTTGGTTTGGTTTGGTTTGATTACATGAAATAATTTAACAAACATAAATGGAATGCTATCACTGTCTTTGATTATGAAGTCAAGTTCAAATATGAATATGATTTCAACATATTCAATAAAAGGATCAACAACGGAAAAGCATCAACTAATTGCGTTAGGTTAGAAGAAATCAATTCAAAAAATTCTTAAATAGTGGTTCTTATTGAAAAACCTTGTTACTATATGTAATTATCATCACATGGTAAGACAAAAAAATGTACCTGTCCTCTTGCTATCTGATATTCATTGTTGTTCAGACCTGTAACAGATGTCATGCTGCCAGACATCAGCAAACAAACAGATTCTCAGAGCCAGCTCTTGAAAACAGCAAAATAAATGAACTAATACAACTATTCAGTACCATTCTGAAAAAGGACTAAAATCAGCATAAGATATAAATACTAATATCGGCATTGCCACCTAGGGATGTTGTTATTATAGTCATGAAACAATTTATGACTACATTAATATCCATATTTGTCATAATTGTTTAGCATCCTTGCATGCACTGGTTATTTGTATAAAATTCAGACATAGATTCAAGAAAATAGATCCTAAAAAACATTAAACTGAGGAACAAAAAATCACAATTTACCAGCCTTCCAGAAATAACGTTTTCAACATCAGAGTCAGCATTTAATTCAACAACAGGAAAAGTGGTATTGTAATCAGCATAATCATTACCCACAGATCCACAATGAAGTTGTACATCTCTTCATTCCATTATAATGATCGTTACCTACGATATTAACTTATTAGTAAGAGAAGTGTAGACAGGCATTAATATGAAAAAATAATGAGTTACAATCCAATGTGGTTCAAAACTAAATAGGTTTGTGATGCTCTCCCCATTACCTGTTTCTGGAGATCAACAATCTCCTTCTGTGTTATAGAGTAGTCTCCTTCACACCTTCTCGAATCAGCCTACGAACACTACTAAAAAAACCACTTTTTGCGACCGCTATAAACCGTCGCAAATAATAAAAAACAGTCGCAAAAGACTTTTTGCGACGGCTCATGCGACGGCAAATGGGGGTCGCGAATATGGGGGTGGCAAATACTTTTTGTGACGGCAAAACAACGGTCGCAAATTATTTGCGACCACCTAAACTACTTATGGCGACCGCTATTTTGCCGTCGCAAAAAACAAAGAAAAACACTAACATGATCTTTGGCGACCATCTTGTTACCGTCGCAAAAAATTAAAAATAAAAATAAAAATAAATAAATGAAAGTGTAGCGTTAAGCACTCTAGGAATAACAATGACAAGAATTCAGACAGTATAGCATTATAGTTTTATTGAACATTCTATTTGAGTCTCAAAATTTGAGTCTTGTAATAGAATTATTGACTAACTGCTGTATTACAGCATTGGCAATTTGTAAATTGTAAACTAAAGGTTATGTGTTTGAAGGCTGGACAAGTGTATTGTGTTACTCAGCTCACAACTCAGCGCCTTTCCATTTGAAATGCTTTTAATGTGATATATGGGAATTGTAGTCCCTAAGACTAAGTCTGAATGCATGAAATAAAAGTGAAGATATATTAGCTTCCAAGAAATGGTTATCATCATATGTAACAATGACTTCACATTATATGTTTTTGCAGTGTCTAAGATCTCTTTCAACATTGATGGTGTAAAAGGTTTCACTTACGGAGAAATGGCACTTGCAACTAACAATTTTCATGCTTCCACTCAAGTAGGACAAGGAGGGTACGGGAATGTCTATAAAGGTATTCTAGCTGATGGCACAGTTGTGGCCATAAAACGTGCACAAGAAGGATCATTGCAGGGTGAAAAGGAATTTCTCACTGAAATAGAACTGTTGTCAAGGTTACATCATCGGAACCTGGTTTCTTTGATTGGATACTGTGATGAAGAAGGTGAACAGGTACCTTTCTACTTACTTGAAAACTTAAATTCATATACACTTACCTGTCTAGACTGCATTTTGGGAGTTTGAACACCATCCCATCAACCAAAAATCCAACCCTGTCAAAGATACTACCACTATTTGTTCCAAAAATGAGGAATAGTGTATATGTTGTGAGAATATTACATAAATATATTAGATTGTGTGAATATTAAATTGATTGTAGAATATAACCACCTCACCTACTCCACTAAACCTAACCCACTACACCACTACCACCTCCACTTCACCTACTCCTTACCTACTACACACTCACCCTCTTCTATATATAGGAATCATGAATCATTGTAATATATACAACATTATATCAATATATATCAATTAATAATACAATTCTCTATTTTTCTTTATACATTAAATTTTCTACATGGTATCAGAGCAAGGTTAAGACCTTAGTATTTCTCGCTTCACCGGCGGGCGGGAACCTCGCCTTGGCCGCCCGCCGGACCTCAACCTAATCTGCTAGAATTTTCTATACATACCTTGAAATTTCTTCGAGTCCACCACCACTGCCTCTCCTCTCACTGTTGTCCTCCCATACACCACTGTCTCGATCGTCTTCATCTACAATGTTGCAGTGAAGGATCTCAAGCGTGGTTTTGTTGCATCCAACTCAAAGGATGATCCAGCCAAGGAAGCTGCAAATTTCACCTCCCAGGTTATTATTATGAATCACCCGGGTCAGATTGGTAATGGGTATGTTCCAGTTCTTGACTGCCACACCTCCCACATTGCTGTCAAGTTTGCTGAGATTGATCGTCGATCTCGCAAGGAGATTGAGAAGGAGCCCAAGTTCTTCCGTGAACATGCTCTCCTTCCTTTTACTCTTGGAGTGAGGCAGATGATTTGCTGCTGTAACAAGATGGATGCTACCACTCCTAAGTACTCAAAAGCAAGGTATGATGAAATTGTAAGGATGATCCAGCCAAGGAAGCTGCAAATTTCACCTCCCAGGTTATTATTATGAATCACCCGGGTCAGATTGGTAATGGGTATGCTCCAGTTCTTGACTGCCACACCTCCCACATTGCTGTCAAGTTTGCTGAGATTGATCGTCGATCTGGCAAGGAGATTGAGAAGGAGCCCAAGTTCTTCCGTGAACATGCTCTCCTTCCTTTTACTCTTGGAGTGAGGCAAATGATTTGCTGCTGTAACAAGATGGATGCTACCACTCCTAAGTACTCAAAAGCAAGGTATGATGAAATTGTGCAGGAAGTCTCTTCCTATCTGAAGAAGGTTGGTTACAACCCTGACAAAATTCCTTTTGTCCCCATCTCTGGTTTTGAGGGTGACAACATGATTGAGAGGTCCACCAACCTCGATATGATTACACAGCCCAAGAGGCCATCAGACAAGCCTCCTCTTCTCCACATTCTTGATAACACCAACAGCAACAGTTTGACGCATTTATTAGAGAAAAGGTCCAAAGGCAGCCCCTGTCAAAGCTGATGCTCAGCAGGCTGTACCATCTATTGAAGTGCCAGCACTATCCTTGCACATGGGGGGCACCCACTC